TTGTTTAATTTCGGTTTTCCCCTTTTTTGTTTGTAATTTAATCAATGCATGAATTTGCTTAATTACTTTCCAATATATTATTGCATTGTAATTGAATAAAAATGTTTCCTCTTTTTAAGGGCAGCCAGTTTACTGCACCATCAAAGCAATTCAGTTTTTTAACAGCAATCCGAACGCTTTGAGCACAGATGAAATATTCGCGCTTTCTCTTCTTTATTTCGGATGCAGTTTCTGCATATTTTACACCGAATTCCGTTGCATCGGAATTGGCAATAAAATGGCAGGGCGTTTCTAAAAACACTGTAAATATAACAAAAAAACCATTTAAATTTAATTAATTTAAAAAAATTGAATTAAAATAAACTAATAAAACCATACATTTAAAGATACATTAAAATATTTTAAATCCTCGGAAATACTGTTTATAACCATGTTTTACCATAACATTTATTTAATATTTATTTACTGTAATAGCTTATTTCTCATTTTTATGGTCAATTCATATTTCAGTAATGTTTTTGTTTGTAACTTTTTTCCCCAACTGGGTTTTTAATTTTTCACATATAAAAATTTCTTGTCTGTCTGTTTTGTATTAACGACATTACTTGGACTTACTCGTAATGGCTACATATAATATAATATGCAAGCGATAGGTAAAATTATATTTTGTTTCTTCAAAGTGACTCAAAGATTTTAGCAAAATTGAAATGAATCTGGTCACTGATCTATAATAACTGATCTCAATAATCTAATTCACTTTTATTCATTGATCAGTAAAATATCAGATTTTATCACTGGTTTCTAGTGCAGCCACTTACTATGCTTTAGTTCATTCACTTAATTGTTTATAGGCTAATGTAGATGTAACATGGATAAAATCCCATTTGGCTATGATTTCCTTTAACATCAAAGCTCACAAAGTGTGCTTATAATTTAATAAGTAATAATTTAGTAATAGAAATAAAGTAAAAAATCAAATTCGCTTTTATTAATTAATATTTAAAAAATGTTGCTTGACGATAAGTAACGTGACATCTTCATAAGTAGTACCCCTCCACTTGAAGACCATTCTTCAAAAATTATTTTGACAATAAATCCTGCCAATAATTGGCATGGATTTTTTGTGGTGCTTTAGTAAATTGTTTGTATACTTCTGCGGTCTCTATCTGGCATTTTCAGTGGCTGAATACAAGCATCTATCTGATGAATCCATAGTTATGACCATAAGTAAATCGACGTGCAGCTGCATTTGATGATGAGAATAAGCTCAGTGAATCTAATCTAGACAAACCTCACACAAAGTAGTTGCCAATGTAATGTGGTTCCCTTAAGTAAAGGTAGTAAAGCAGATTTTCAGATTTTATCAAGATCATTATTAATTCACAGATTTGTTTGAATGCTGAAATATTTACCTCAACGTTAAAAGCTAAAATCTCAAATATGCTCTATATTTTTAGTTAAAACTCTTTATGAGATCAAATTTGAAATTAACAAAGAGTAGCATGCTAGGTGGCCCCACCATAGACCAGTTAATTGATCGAATATATATAACCGATAACCAAGTTGAATATATTATATTTTTAATATTTATAAGTTTTGTGCTTCCCTAACTATTTATTTGTAATCATTTTTCTATATATTCCAATAAAATAAATGGCTTATTACAAATTTTAATAAATACTTCTAAAACGAATTTTTAGAAATGGTTAGTTGGTCTGCCACTGCACCATTAGATAACTTCCATCTACCTCAAATACCGATTTTTCACTGTTTTGCTACCACATTCCTCGCAAGAACCCTAGTATAGAAGAGTAGAGACTAAATCCATCCCGTCGAATTTAAGTAATTTAATAGGTCTTTCATATTCACCGTTGAACAGTCTGATAGACTATCAAAGAAGTATTTTCCTAAGAACCTATATCTTCTGGACGCTAACGGCGGGCATTCACAGAGAAAATATATAATTGTTTCTTTGTCCTGCAGGTTTCTACAATTTCTGCAGTGAGGTTTGTGGGGAATGTGCAGTTTCTCTGCGTGAGTTTCTACACCCCAATGTCCAGTAAGAACTGCAGTAAGCCTTGCAGTGTTCAAGCGATTTTTTTTGATGAGTTCCGAGGATTTATTTTTATTATAAGTGGGCCATGTTAACCTGGAAGTCACACATGACCTAAGTGCTTTCCATTTGTTATTGGCAAGTTGCAGAAAGTAGGGGAAGGTACTTTATTTAATGGTCTCCAGGTTAATATAAACTGGTACGCATTTAAGGAGTCACCAGAGCGGACTAGACTGTCAGCTTTCTCGTTTTTGAAATACTTCTAAATATAAAACAATTCTAAAAATTTTAATTCTTTAGTTAAATTAAATTGTAAGTCTGAATCGAAAAAAATAATAATATTTCTGTAATGTGTTTTCCTAAATTTTATGTAAAGAGTCGCTTCTCATGTGGATGTGGTATGCTGCAAAAACAGCTGTTTCATTTTTATGTTGCAATTTTGAATACTCCTAATAAATTATCATTAAAGTGCAAACAATTTAAAAGTCAATGAGTCCCTATCCCCTAGCGAAAAATTTTACAATATTAAAAATATTTCATGTTTTCATATTTTTTCTAATCGAAGGTGATAGAAGGTGATGAATTCAAAATGTGTATCGATTGTAAAGTAATGTGCATATGAGTCGTTAATATATGGCATTTCATATGATATATTAATACGAAATAATATGATTAATTTAAATTTAATGAAAAATACATTTTAGAATATGTTATATTTAATCAATCAAATTAAAAAATATATGGTATATTCCCTTTGCTGTGTTTGTGATCCCCGTTTTGTATCCATTAATTGTATTGATGTTATCATCACAATCCTAATATTTTGTGTAGTCATATCTACATGACCTCGTTGTGTGCCATTTTTTTCAGTTTTCATCACCTTCCAACTAAATTTATTACTTTATCGGGAAGTGAATCATGTGAAGCTGCGGATTTGTTTCGCAAATATGTGATAGACGTTTGACGAAATTCGCTTGTTGTCGAATTCCATTGTTCGCAACTGTTATCACTCACCGCACCTGTTGGTCAGCTTACAGAAATGGAATTAATTTAATTTTCATTGCGCCGTGCATCGCTATCTCAATGGTCAATGAAATTTTTGGTCAGTTCGTTATTTTGGCACAAAAATGTTGATTTGTTTCGGGTTTCGTTATGCGCCAAGCCAAAATAGAACTTGAGCCTCCTTTCAAAAATGAAAATGTTTGACTGGAAATAGCTTTCAATCATATTGCAAAATGCCGCAAATTGGGATTATTCCGGAGTGTGAAAATGCCTGCAAACATTTGTAATAAAGTTGATAGTCTGCAGACCATAAAGCTTGTGCTGCATATCTACTGAACTTTGGATTGTAAGATTTTCTTTATTAAAATGATTGAAATTTTTCAACTGAGTGTTGTATTTAAAAAAGATTGTAAAAGTTTTACATTAAATGTTTTGATTCGAATTAGATATTTAACCGCAGTTCCATTATAAAATAACGAATAATGTATTCTATTAGAAAACTATACAGTAAATAAACTATTGAACTTTAAGTATTGATATAGTTGTTCTATTATGAGTGTTCGGAAAACTAATTGAATATTTTGATTGAACGTAAAAATATATTGTAACACTTCTTTAAGATAATATATATATAAATTGATGATATTAATACAAAGGATAGAAAACATTCACTAAAATTTATTGTGTTTTTAACAACGTAGCAAAAGAAAGAGGTGGTTCCTTGGTCCAAGAAATCACACATTATCTTAGTTTTTATTTTCACTAAGATAAAGTGTGTCAAACCTGCATTATTTTCAAATAATCCACAATATTTCAAAAACTTTTGACTCCAATTAGTCTTTTGATTTGAATTTTAGTATGCTTTTGAACTAAATGGTTAGAAATTGATTCTCTTAAAAAAAAATTTGGTTATTTTGTTAGAAGATCTTATAGATCTCAAAACTTATGGACGTTTTTGCAGTACATTTTTAATATATCCGTACATTATTACTTTCCAAACATGTTTACAACAGAATTTTCTATCTCTCACAAAACGTTTTCCAGTCACCAAAGAATCTTGTGATATGTTTACTATTTTTTCGAAGAAAGTACAAAAGTTTCTTCAATAACATATCTATAACTCCAAAAAGCAATTTTTTGTTTAAAAAAAAAAAATTAAGTAAATTGAAGAATATTTAGAGGGTTAAACATTTGTCTGTTTTAATAATCGAAATGGACCCAAGTAAATAAGTCAGTCAATATCACGTATAAACTGGAAAAAATCCGCACCAACAAAAAATTATATTAATGTCATCCCAATTGCAATTTGCACTCGTTTGGAGTAGTTTTTTAAAATTATCTTCAGGTGCTCCATACCATTGCGGACATAAATCGTTTGATTTTCCATCACTAACGATGAATATCTATATAAATCAGAATAAAAACTATGAAAGTATTAAGAGTTTACATAGCTATCGTTGCCTTTCAGACTATGTAGATTAAAATAAAGGTGTCGAAGTATTCCTACGGAATAACGATGATAGTGGTCATGGCTGATATTCTCTTATTTGATATCTGCATACTCATGACATTGAATTTAAAAAATAAAAAAATAAATTAAATTATATTAATTAAATTAACTAAATTAAATTAACTAAATTAAAATTAAAAATAAGAAATTAAACTCAAATAAAAGATGCACATAAATTTATATTTGTGGCAATTGGTCTGGGGTCTATTTCTGATAACAGATCTGGGGATCTACGGAAGGCAATTGTCTAGTAAAGTGATGCTCATCATATACCGTTCATATAACGCACAGATTTTATAATTTTAATACAATGAGAGTTATTTAAGCTTTTAATAATAGAATAGACCTTAAAAAAAATGACCTAGTATGTTATGTAAAAAATATACATTGTAATAAATATCAAAAAATTTTTTAGTTTGAATACAGATGTTTTTATAAATTTTAAAAATCTTGTAACGGAAGATGTTACGTACAGCTATTATTTTTATATTTTGCTTATTTTTATATACTAATCACGCGTTCGGAGAAACAAGTGATGATGATGAAGACTTTACGAATCTTATTGTAAATGGTTACCGAAAAAAAAATAGTTCACTATGCAAGTTTATTGTTTCCATTCGAATGGGCAATTATTATATCGTTGAGGGTGATAATCATATATGCGGAGGTTCTATTATATCAAAACGTTGTATTGTGACAGCCGCACACTGTCTAGTAACACAGTAAGCTTACAATTAAGTAATAAACTAACTAAATTGAATTAAATTCTACTATAACTTAGAGATGAAAATCAGTTGATTCCATCCGAACACTATTACATTGTTGCTGGGTCACAATATCGTTTGAATTCTCCACTTTCTGCCCAAAAAGCATATGTAAGCTCAACAATTGTACATCCTTTGTATAATGTGCCGAAAAGAGCTGCAGACATAGGCCTTATGATATTAAAAGATTTGCTTCAACTGGATTTTAAAACTGTAGCACCAATTCCTTTAGCTACAAAAACACCTGTACTTAATACTAAATGTACTACAGGAGGCTGGGGATCTGTGTTTTATGTAAGCCACTTCTATTCAAAATATTTTATATTGATATCTAAAATATACAACTCTTAGAATGGGCCAAGTCCAGATAACATCTTATATTCTGATCTTCACATATTGGCTTGTAACTTGAATATAAATGGCAGTTCAAAAGGTTTGATATGTGCAATGAATAATAAAGATCCGGAGATGGATTCTTGTCAGGGAGATTCAGGAAGTCCTCTAATTTGTGATGGGAAGTTATGTGGACTTGTTTCATTTGGTATTGGATGCGGTTGGGGATATCCTGGTGCTTACACCAATGTTGCTTATTACAGAGATTGGGTTCTTGAACACTCTGCATCTATAAGAGCAAATAATTTAAATAAATTTGCATTTATTGCATTAATAAGCACTATACTTATACCTTACATTACGGTATTAGTTTGACAAAAATTTACTAATTATTAATACTAGTACGTAAACTTGAACATTTGTGTGGAGACTAAATAGTCCTTAAGAATAGTATGTTTCTTTATGATCGAGAACTTGTGGTATATCTTATTTATAAATTATTTAATTTATTATGTATAAATTAAATAAATATATAATTCAGTGTAAGAATATAAATGCATTATTGCGGGCATTTATAAACGAATTAAATGTTTTTTGTGATTAAATATTCATTAACAGATCGAAATTGACTTTGAAGAGCTTTACCCTGCAAGATCATTAGTAGCGAGTGCTTAGGTGTAGCTACATTAAGACCGAAAAGCTTTCGGAAATTCTCATTTAAAATTCGCGCGCTGTATATTTTCCGATATTTTAAGTTTATGTAGTTTGGCAGCACTGTCCTTAATTACTATGCCAAAAATGAGCGCGATCTGTCAGACAGTTCGTTTACGGCAGCTGTTGAAACCAGTTCACCTCAGTAGGGCGTTGCGAAAAAAACAATGGAAAAAAATATTGAACAAAGAGTTTGCATCAAATTTTGTGTTTCGAACGAAATTTCGTGTGCAGAATCGTTGCGAATGCTACAAAAGGCTTATGGGGAATCAGTTTTATCGAAAACTCAAGTTTATGAGTGGTACAAAGCCTTCCAGGACGGTCGTACGACCGTCGAAGACATTTCGCAACGCACTACTGAGGTGAACTGGTTTCAACAGCTGCCGTAAACGAACTGTCTGACAGATCGAGCTCATTTTTGGCATAGTAATTAAGGACAGTGCTGCCAAACTACATAAACTTAAAATATCGAAAAATATACAGCGCGCGAATTTTAAATGAGAATTTCCGAAAACTTTTCAGTCTTAATGTATATTTGAAAAAATCATCCTTTGTTTACTTTTCTTTTTATATCTAGAAAAGGGTTATCGGTACGACCGTGTTTTTCTTATTGACAAATATAACGTCAAATTTAAAAACGATATATTCTTTAGTCGATAAATTATATCCAAAAGCTGGTCGATAAATTATTATTTTCAGTCTTTCATTCAAGAAAATTTATTAAACGTGGCTAACTTTCAATGAATGACGAACTTTAGTTCTAAGAGTAAGATTTGATAATCAAAATCAATTTAAGCCACCAAAGTTTATAATATAAACATGGGTATTACATATCCCACACAAAAATAATTACCTATTAAATTTAGGCACAAACAAAAGGATCATAATAGTACTAAAAGTACGGGAGTGATAATTGTGATATCAACTTTCTGATGGTATACAGATTAAACAGTCATGACCAACAAGAGCGTCATATTGCTGTGACCAATCGCCATGTGACTGTCTATATATAAGATGACTATAACATGATTTTACTGTCTATAAAAACTAATATATAACATAGTTGCTTTAACGTAGAAAATAAAGCTTGGATTAGATAAGTATTGTATGATTGATATAATTTAGTTAAAATCTGCTTAAATCGGCTTGTATTTTTTGTATTTATTCTTTAATATGAAAACTAGTGCTTAGGTTTTGTGCTAATTGAGTGACGTTTTGCTGATGGACCATACGTAAATCGAAGTATCTAAAGTTTGAAATTTGAAAAAGAGTTAATGTTATTAAAATGAAATTTTAAATTTAAAAGAAAAATTTTTGGTATAATTATTTGTCCGAAACGTATTGAAGATTTGGTATCTTTTTCACTTAAGATATATTCTAAATATCTTGTAGAGTTAATATCTTTAATTGCTTTGACATTAATATTTTTGCTTCTTTGATCCCTGAAAAAATAAGTTTTATTTGATATTTGAAACCATATTACAAATACCTATGGCTTGGTTTTAATAAATAGGGATTTCAGACTGCCGAGTGCCACAGTTTTCAGAAAACTATTTCATTCCTTTAAAATAGTACAGTTTAAAACCTTGTCGATATATTTGACAGTCAATAAATACATCAGATCGGCTGCTATAAAAAATAACAAGTTTAAGTTAACATGCGGTGGTCGTGCTTAATCTTAAAAAAAACAAACATTTTAAAATCAATATATACACAATAGTGTCTGATGCGTACGAAGGAAAGTATATTAAACTGATTTATTTAGAAAACAATGAGACAATGTGTAAGAAATGAAAAATAAATTTATTAAGAAACCTATCAGCTGTAGACGTTGAACTTGCTTAAATATATTAACTGCATGTTTACAACACAATTTGATCCCAAATGATTTAATATACATGTCCTTCCGTTTTCATTTTTATATTTTTGCAGGATATATCGTTGAATTACTGATTCTCAAACGCTGTGGTTAGGAAATGGAAAATATAAGTTGTTTCCAAATCACCACAATGCACACATGACGTTTGAACAATCAAATACACTAGTGCTCCAATACTGCAGTACCAGACTTGCTTATCTTAAAATATTGAAACTCCATTTTCGTTTATGTTTCCACATTTTTTTTTGTTGTGCTTAAGTTATTTTCCTTTTCAGTTATTGTAAGAGCTTCCCAGTTCCTTGGACATGAAACCCACTCGCACAATCCTACACACCAAAGTTTTATGGTTGTTTGCTAATAACTGCTGACTGTGCTTTTGCTTGTTCTTGTGGGTACGACGGAGTGTGCGATATGCCGTAGAGCCTTGTTGCGTGTTTCCTGCTAGCGCCTTTACACTGACCCTCCGGAGATTTAGTAAGTTTCATAAATGTCTTTCAATCATAATATTTCAATAAGTCAAAATCGATTACAAACTTCATAAGAAATTTATTGCACTGCACAAATATGACATTGAGTTGCTCTACCCCCTGACATGCCCCTTACATTCGGTTCGAAATGAGTTTATATATTATTGAGTATTATTCGTAAGGATAAGGGTTTTATTATTGCTAGCAAACACAAACACAAAAGTAATATTTACTTACCACTGAAGTGATAAAATATTTATTAAAAAAAATAATATTTTTATCACTTCGAAGCGGTGGGAAAAATGAAGTGAAGTCATAAACAAAATAGACATTGTTAACTCTTTGTTATTGTTTATAAATCACTTGTTTATGTCGTTTCAATATTTGTCAACACATGGTTTGGCAAATAAATGACAGTGATATTGGGTACTAATCCATGAGCGGAATTTGGATTTCTACGGCAAAAATTAATGAAACTAGACGCAGTCCAACAAATATTTTAAAATTAATGACTTAAAATTATATTAAATAATCGATGCCGAGTTAATACAGTATAAATTCCTAAGACTTGACTTAGTCTTATATACCAGCTCCGAAAGTATCCGGATTTTGTTGTTTGTTAACTACTCCTTAAATAATAGACCTTTTTCAAAAATTTTTCTTTTTTTGACATATGGTACAAATTTGAGCGCCATCTGTTAATTAGTTTGTTTACAGCAGCTGCTAATATGAGACTACCTCAAGTGTATTTAGCGATTTTTACTATGGAAAATTCTTGTACGCGATTTTTTGAACAAACACGGCACCACTGTCATCGCAAAGGCACCATATTCGCCAGATCTAGCGCCGTGCGACTTTTTTCTGTTCCCGAAACTGAAATTGCCTCTTCTTACCACGAAGAGTCCATTTAATCGGTAAAAGAGAATTCACCGAAGGAACTAAAAGCCATGCGTGCAAATTATATTTAATTAAAAACACATGAAACTTAAGTTTGATGCGTATTTTATTGAATGAATCTTAAGACTAGTTTTTTTTACAACAGTATTCTGTATTTATACAAAATTATCTTGAGACTAATTTTATTCTCAAGGTTGAGATGTGTTATTTATTTTATTAATTTTAATTACATTTACTATTGTTTGAAAGAAAAGGTTAAAGAAAAGGACGGAAGTCCCAACACTAGGGATTTTCCTCCTATTGTTTTTATAAATATGTTTTATTGTTATAATTAGGTATTGAAAAATGTTGCAATGTTTAGTTGCTTTCAATTTCCTGTTTAATAGATAATTTTTGTTACAATGTTTAGGTATTTTTTATTTCCTGTTTAATACAATACATAATTCAAAATATTTAGTAGTATAGAATACAATGTGTTGCTCGAGATTGTTTGTTTAGGAACAAACGATCTATACTTCTGATGTCTTGTGTTTGCTGATTATATCGTTCACTAGCGATATAACTTGCACGGGTCTACGAAAAGTGTATGGAAGATTGGGTTTATTCGTTGGCATATGTGTATCGCTTCAGAAGGAGAATATTTTGAAGGAGATAAAATAAATTTGGAATAAAATTTAAATTTCTGTGTTTTATTTACAAAATCCGAGTACTTTTTGAGTAGAAGGCATATCCTAAAATATATTACTAAAAATTATTATTAAAAATCGTTGTATTTTAGTACACTTTTTGAATATTCAAATTAAAAACCAATGTTCATCAGTATACCTATATTGTCCATTAAATTTTATGACGTTTTGCAATTTTTCGAGTAGCTTTATAACTCCATCGATGTAGAATTTCTGTGGTTTGTAGACGAAAAACTTGGCAAAATGATTTTTAGTGGTTCTTCGATCGATCAATTTTACAGAATTAAGAGAGTTTTACAGAAATCGAAACAAATGATGCTCAGATAATGCAAGGTCCGGACTATTCGATGTGGATGCATCAAAACTTCTTAACAAAGTTCCAGCAATATATTCTAAGTCATCAAAGAACATAAGTTCTTTTCGTTTTTTGAATTTTGGTTGCTTTTTCTCGATTGTTTCATTAAAATTGTGAGCAGTAGGAGCCCGAAATACACAAATACTCTTGTTTGTCACCAATTGGTTTGTGGAGGGTCACCGGCCTCAACCGGTCTCCAATATCTAATCGATTGCATTGGATATTCTCGTATTTATTAAATTTTTCATCAGTCGTAAGGAAATACTCAATAAATGATCGTTGTGTCTCGGTAGAGTCAATCAAATTTATTTTCATTAAATCATGTGGGTCCAAAACATCGAACGTCTTTACACAGCATACTTATTTGTATGATTCTAAACTATCATGAGGTTGCAATTTAGTGGCGCGATTATTTTTGAAAGCTTGCTTTACTAATTGCAAATTTTTTTTGACTTTTTTAAAGGCTGGCC